GTATTGTTGGCAGCTCCATTCCTTAGGCAGGGGAGTCCTGAACCGTACAAGAGGAGAGATCAGGCTGCAGCAAGCAACATCTGCACACTCATTTCTCTGCTCTTCACTGTGGGTGTCATGTGACCTGCTGTCTCAAGCTCTGGTTGCCGAGAGTTTCCCACAGTGATGGACCGCAGCCTGGAACCAGGAGCTGAAATAAACCCTTTTGCCTCTAAAATGCTTTTTGTCAGGATATCTGTCTTAGTTTCTTCTTTGCTGTGACAAAACACTCTGACCACTACCATCTTGGGGAGGAAAGGGTTTATTTATCTTACATCTCCCTGGTCACAGTTCATCAGGGAGCCGAAGGTAGGAACTCAGGGCAGGAACCCGGAGGCAGGAGCTGGGCACAGGCCATGGAGGATCACTGTTTACTGGCTTGTTCCCCTGGCTCCTGCTCAGCCAGCTTTCTTATGCAACACAGGCCAACCTGCCCAGGGGTGGCACCACCCACAGTGGGCTGGGCCCTCCACAGCACTCATCAAGATGTCCCTCAGATGTAGCCACAGGCCCGTCCAATAGAGGATATTCCCCAATTGAGGCTCCCTCAACCCAGTTGTGTCAAGTTGACACTAAAGCTATCCAGCACAGACAGCATTAAAAAGCACAACCTACAAATTATATAGAGAGAAGGTGGGCTGGGCCCTCCTCAGCACTCATCAAGATGTCCCTCAGATGTAGCCACAGGCCAGTCCAATAGAGGATATTCCCCAATTGAGGCTCCCTCAACCCAGTTGTGTCAAGTTGACACTAAAGCTATCCAGCACAGACAGCATTAAAAAGCAAAACCTACAAATTATATAGAGAGAAGAAAGAACTACAGGATAAAGGAATGGTTAACATTTTAAATTCAATCACACAAGTATGTCTCCCAAATCTGCAGAGAAAGTTATCTAGCCAAATACAAGAAACCCACACAACACCAAACGGAGAACACCAGAAAAGAAACTTGCCCTGGCACATCATAGTGACCACACAATTTCTAAAACGGTCTTTAGGACTAAAAATGTGTACAAAGGGAAATAAAAATAGCTAGGAAATACTTTAAAAACTCTTCACCAACCTTAGCAACTAAGGAAATCCAGATTAAAATGACCTTAGACTGCAATCACGATTGAATCAGTACGGATATAATCATGAAAACTGATAACAAATGAGGTACAAATATGAGGAAAGGGAATCTTCATACACTACAGGTGAGAGTATAAATCCGTCTGAAGGCATCACAAAAATGCTAGACATAAAACTACCATACAGCCAAGAAACATCACTCCTGGGCATATCTGAAAGGTTTATGTACCCAGACACAGGGATGCCTGCACATCCAAGGACATTGTACTCTATTCACAATAGTTAGAATATGGAGATAACCTAAACACCCAACAGCTGATGATAATGAAGATGTGCTAAATATGCACAGTGTAATACTACTAAGCCTTAAGAAAACTAGAAATTTTGAGATAGCAGAGAATGGATATGATTTCCAACACTATTCTCTATGAAGTAACCCACCACAAGACAAATACCTCATGTTCTCTTTCAGATTAGCATGTTAGCGTCAACTATTTACTATGGTGAGTCTCACATGAAGTGCTTATGCACACCAGGAATATTGGAAATGAATAGGTACAGAGAGGTTACCTTAAGGGTGTTTAAATAGTAGAGCAGATATAAAAAGTAAATAAAGAGAAGGAATACTGTGGGTGGAAATATTTCCAAAGGGAAGGAGGCAGGAGGTTGAGGAAATTAATGGTTTGGCTGTGGTAGGATTAGAATAGATGTCCATTTTAGCAAGGATAATGCAGTGCACTTTCTTTGATAGAAGCTCAATCTAGACAACCAGTAACAAGGTTGCTGACTGATCACAGTAGAGACTGATGCAATTTCAGGGGTGCAATTATAGATTTTGCTATGTACAGTTGAGCACAAAGCTAACAGATGAAAGGGCACACCTAGAGATACCATAGGTGCATTCCTGAGGAGAAGCGCACTTTAATAGTTATATCATCTAGACACAATTTGGTCTTTTCGTTAAGCAAATTACAGGTGACTTCAGAACCTACTTGTCACTGATCATAAGTTCCACTTCCACTGGATGATGGAAGACTACTGTGTGTCCAAATTCATGGCTTGTTGGGTTGGATAAAACTCAGGTCATGATGGGAAGCTAGGCATGCAAGGTCGTGTACTGATACTTTACCAAGCATATAGTAAATACAACAGTGGGTGTATCAATTACTTTCCTGTTACTGTGAAAAAACACCATAATCAAGGGAATTTACACAAAGAAGACTTTATTAGAACTTTTGGTTCCAGTATCCAGAGGGATTAGAGACCACCAATGTGGGGTGACATGATGAGGTGGCCAGAGCAGGAACAGAAAGCTAAGTGTTTACAGCTTCAAGCAGGTACAGGAAGGAGAGTGTGACTGGAAATCCAGCAAGGTGTAAGAATTCTTTAAGTCTTCCACCAGTGACATGCTTCTTCCAGTAAGGTGACACCCTCTAAGACCTCCCACAACAGTGCCACCACCTGGGGACAAAATAGCCAAATACTTGGAGCATATCGGGGACATTTTCATTCAACTACCACATTCCATTCCCTGGCTCATGTAGGTGCACCACAATATAAAACACAAAATACATTTAGCCCATCCTTAAATGTCCCCATAGCCTTTATCAGTCTCAATACTCTTCAAAAGTCCACAGTGCAGTCTCTTCTGAGACTCAGGGCAATTGTTTAACTATAAGCCTCTGTAAAATCAAAAGACAAATTACATACTCCCAACATATGCTTTAACTGATACACATTCCAATTCCAAAAGGGAGGAATAGGGGCACAGTGAGGAAATCCTGGACTGAAAACAAGCATGGAAAACACCATATCAAACTATGTCTGACTTCTGGGACTTTATTTCCAAAGAGTTTAGATGGCTCAGCCCCTCAGCTTTGCTGTGTGCAACATACATCTCTCTCTAGGGCTGGCACCACTCCCTGTATGCAGCTCTCCTTGGCAGATGTCTCACAGTTCTGGCATCACCAATGTCTTCTTGGGGTCTCCATTGCTGTCATCATCACAGCTTCATGCAATGGCCTGTCAGGGCAGTCTTTATGCTGGGACGGCTTTGCTGCACACTGCCTGTCTTCAGTGGCTCTCTGAAACCATGGAGGAAGAACCCATGACATCTTCACTCTACATCTTTCATGCCTCTAACGCTGGTACAATATGAACATCACTGCCAAGTTCAGCTGCCTTCCTGGGGTGGACTCTGGCCAACTTCATCCACATTACCAACAGCTTTCTGATGCTGTGGTTTTCTGGAAATAGAAAAGCTTTCATGCATTTTCCTTCCACAAGTTGAAAGCTTAGCTGGGTGTGGTCTTTACCCATTTCTTTCCATTGTTTAAGTACAAATCTCTAGGCATCTCCTTAAACACATTAATCTCCTTATTAAATAGGTCATTTCCTTCAGTACAGGCCTTGGCTCCAACATTAATCTTCCTAGTGCTTTTTTTCAATGAACATTGTACATTCTGCATTTCTTTATGATGTATTTGCTTCTTTTCACATAGGTCTGCATAATGTTCACTATTAATTGCCACACCACCATTTCTACATCAGGCTGTCTTGAAATTGCCTCTGTGAAAGAAATTAGTCCATGATTTTTCAGGTTAGCCTCAGGCAAGCTTTTATGCTGTGGAATTAGACAGATTCTTGGCCAAAATATTCCAATTGCTGCTTAAGTCCCTATTTCCCTCTGGAAATACTTTGCTTTCAATACTTAAGTCCTTATTTCCCTCTGGAAGTACATCACTTAACTTCTAGGATCCTACTAACATGGTTCATTAAGCTCTGCTTCCAGTAATCAATGGCTTTTCTAGTCCAAGCATCGACAGTCTTCCACACTCTTCCAAAAACCCACAAGGTCAGGTTCTTCATAGCCAACAG